TTTTTACGCACCTGCATAGTCAATATAGAGAATTTTATTATTTTTTTTTTATTGAGCGACGAAGCAAATTCGAATGACAAGGAAAATTGACGCATTTGCGAGGCTTAGCTGGCCGAGGTGAGAAGATTGGCCTGAAACCGAAGCTAAATTGGAGGACAAAAAGGTGTCGATTAGCGTCTGACTCTACGTGCACGCGGCACAAAAGCTAAGCAACGACGGAATTCAGCCAAGCAGGAAACATCATTCATGTAGAAAAATCAGATCTCAAGGTAGCGAATCACGCTATGTAATTCACTGGAAGGGAAAACAGCCACGAGCCAATTGCTCCGCCTTCGTACAACTCTTTCGAACTGAATACTCGTCCTTGGTCAAACGAGCCCTCGACTCACCATGTGCAAGAAGAAAAAAAAGCAAATAGCAATCTCAGAAAGAACGTTAGAGAGAAATATCTAAGCATGCGCGACTGCATGTATGATACAGAGATACTTAAATGAAGCAGTAACCGTTGACAAAAGTGCTAAAATTAAATTAGTTTGACTCGACCCTCTCTTCTCTCTCTCTCTCTCTCTCTCTCTCTCGCTCTCTCTCTCTAACCCATCATCATACGAAAGAACTAAGTGGAATAACGTTTTTTCAATTATTTAAAATAATAATCTTTTATTGTTATATTAAATAATATCATTTAGACTTAAAATTTTACAGATTGTATGAATGATAAAGACAAATTATATGAAAATAAAATTAATTAATTTGCGTATCGCGTAATATTTACAAACTTGAAAATTCATATTAAAAATTTACCTATTAAAATAATTTATATAATATATTTTTGATCTAACATACATTTGAATTTATTTAAAGAAAATATTTCTTTACAAAACAATATTTTAAAGATTTCGTTAACGAATGCTTTTCAATAAAAATTTAATCGTTTTATTGTAACGGAACAATATAAATTAATTAAAATAACATAAAACAATAAAAATTATTTAATAATTTATTATCAATTACGCTGTAAAAATAAAAATTAAAATGTTCGCACAAAAGTTTTTAGACATTCGCCTTGACTTTGCAAAATCCGTGTACACAAAGAATTTCGATTGATCTAAAGAAAATTCTCAAATAAAAAAAACTAATATTGATTATATTTACTTTTCTTAATTTATTTTGCAGTAAATATAAATAATTACAGAAGATAATTATTTTTATGATGATATTAAGAAGTAAATTATGAGTTACTCTTTCTTTAATAATATTATTTAAATCTAAAATATCAATGACAATATATATTTAACCATTACAATAGAAAATAAGAAAAATAAAATAGCATTTGAAAATTTTTATTTTTTCTTTTAATTTCACAATTCACCATTTCATTTCTTAAAAAAAATTATTTATTTTTTTTTAAACTTGATTTATTTTGAATTTAAAGCAAAGAAAACTAAAAACATTTTAATTTATATTCTTACAACATATTATTCATTTTATAAATTCAATAAAATGAATTACTAAATTACTATAAATGATTTCGAAACTTTTTCAAATAATTTTGTTATGATTAATTTTATTTTTTATTTCATTTATTTATCTTCGATTATATTAAAAACAAATGAATAATATGTGAAATAAATTAATTTTTATGGACTATTGTCAAACATTGTAGATGTGTTAAAAAATCTGTGAAAAAAAAAAATAATTAAATGTTAATGAAAATATAATAAAATAGTCTGAATTATATTGTTTATCCTAATTATTATAATTCATTGAATTTCTCTATATGTAGAAGTAGTAATTAATTACAAGCATAAACGAGAGACTTTGCATATATTAAATTAATGTACACGATATCGTCCACTGACTAATTTATAATCTTATTATTTTTATCTTAATTTACTTGAAGAAAATTATATGATAAAGCTTATAGAAAATCGGTGTAGAATTAATTTGGAAAATAAAAAATATGTTTAAAAGAAAATTATCCAACAGCTTGAGAGTATATATTTTAATATTGATTTTTAATTTTATATTATATAAATTTGATTATAGTTTACTTTGAGTAAAATTTGCTTAAGTGCATTCAATACATTATGTTATTTGTTTACTTTATGACAATTAATATTCAAAACCGATGTGTTATTTTTTTAATTTTTTTTTTTTATTTTTTTTTTTTAATAGACTTTTCGAATGATGAATAGAAAATACGTTAATAGTTAGTAACAATATCTTAGCTTAATCATATTATTTATTTACTTTTACATATTTTTGATTATTTGATTTTTATATACTAATTTAATATAGAGTGATAAGTGTATAAAGAGAAGTAGTAGTTTGAAAAAACTATTTAGAAATAATTAGACAAATCTAAATTCTAGCCCAATTATACGAAATGATAATAAATATCTTTTCTCATTAAGGAAATCAAAAATATTATTTTATTTTACAATATTTTCTCTAAGATTTTACAAGTCAAAGTGATTCCGTGAATTCGTTACCATAATAATAAATTTCTGTGATCTGCATCATCGACTAATATACCAAGATAATGAGTCAAAAGCTAAAATCGTAGAAATGAAATTTGACTTAATCGTCAATCAAAATTACAAAGTCTTCGCCTTATAAAAGCACAGCGCCGATTAGAATCATCGTTATCAATGTGACTGTGGTTATATTCGATGATTTTCTCTCAACTTGACAATAATTCAAGACTATCTTTGTGGTTTATATCCAAGCACATTTTAATCTATTTTATGCCTCAAAAACCATATGTTATTGCAATGCTTCTATCTATTATTAATTTAAAAAACGTTGACATATCTATTATAAATAATAATATTTACTAAATTTAATTTATATATTTATTATTAATTTTCTTCCATTGTTTAGAATATTCAGATAAGAAAATGGACAAAATTCCTCTAGTATTATGAGCAATCTCTGATAAACTTTCAATGTATTCTTATTAAAATTCTAACAAAACTCTGGTAAATATTTTGATAATTGTGTAAACAATGCGATACTTCCATTACAACCATATGTAGAAAAATATTAAGTAAAAAATTTAGCTTTTATTAAAAATATTCCATATTTTTTTTTTTTTTTTATTTATTTTATATTTTTTTTATTTCAATATATTACTGTTATAATAGCTAATAAAAATCGGTTGCTAATAAAAATTGTTGTTGCAATAAATGGTGATTTCCGTAATATGAAAGATTATAAAAAAGTAATTAATAAATTATTATTTTAAGCTCCAACAATTAAAAATTATAAATTCCTCCCTAAAATTATAATTTATCATTATTAAGCATAAACATCTATTTTATAATTTTATATCATAAGCAATTAATATTATCTAATTATCGACATTAAAATAATAATGTAAACATTAGGCGATTTAGAGTATCTTTCTATTAAAAAATTATCAAACTTAAACATAGTAATTATGGTGAAAATTATATAATCAAAACTTATTACTCTTTTGTTATGGTAACAATTTTAATGCAAAAAAGTTCATTTGAAAAACGTTTCCTTACATTGAATTTCTACATTCATATATTTTTATGAAACAGTGTATGTGTAAAACTTGTATATGTAAAATGTATATAATCAAAATAATCCGTCATAAAAGTTTTAAAGATATAGATTTGAGACACTATCTTTTTTTTTATGCAAGTAATACTTTATTTCAAATCGTAGTGTATATAAACTTGACTATTTTTAAATCCATATTAATAAAAAAACTTATTGTATTTTTTTTATTTTTTTTTTTAATTATACTTGTATTCTAAAATCCTTGAGGAGATATTACACAAAAGTTTTATCTAATTAAATAAAATTTAAAATTATCCTTAGCAAAATCAAATTTACTTTTATTAATATAGTAATTCATTAAATGGATGCGTTAAAGTAATTTTTTTATACAATGAATTGCTTTATATCTAACGGTGTGATTGCACTTATTATTACTAAAATTATTATTACTCTTGTAGATGTGTGCTGTCAACATTAGTGTGTTATGATTATTTATTTTAAAAAATAATTATAAAATGGCAATTAATATCTTTTTAAAATTAAATTATTACGTTGATAAAAGTATAAATCGATGATTTAATGCTCGCTGGACTATAAGTTATAAATAGTTATAAGTAGTTATAATATCGATGGCAAGATCAATTAATCGACAGATCCATAAGTCAGAAGTTTAACTTATGGTGGAAGATCAGTCTTGTAAATAAATGCAAAGGCCTTGAAGTTTACATACACCGTAAAAAGTCTTAATCTTGACATTTCATTGCGACTGCCGTCTTGTTCGAATGTCACACACACGCGCACATGGCCTCTCTCTCTCTCTCTCTCTCTCTCTCTCTCTCTCTCTCCATCTATCTCTCTATCTATCTATCTGTTTCTATACTACCTACGTCCTGTAACAATTCAATGTGAGTGAGGCGTGCAGTATAATTGGGCTCACGACGATTATTAGGCGCTCATCGCACTCGTACGAACGGGAGGTGCTTGGCAGGGACCCCGTCACACACAATTCTTCATCGGTACCACCGTCTCTCTCTCGCTTACTCTTACTCTCTCTGTCTCTCTCTTGTTATGCTCTGTGCATTGTACATTCACATATCCAGAGGGACGCGTCTACGCATTATGTGAGTACAGGGGACAAGTAGAAGGGAATGGAGTAACGTAGTGGAACACTGCTGTCATCGCTTTGACATGAGTATGCGAGCCGATGAGGCAGACGAGAGGGAGCGAGAGATAGATAGATAGAGAGAGAGAGAGAGAGAGAGAGAGAGAGATAAAGTGTGCATGTATGCGCGTGTATGTGTCTATATATGTATATATATATATATATATATATATATATATATATAGAGAGAGAGAGAGAGAGAGACCGATGCTCCGTGCTCGACTTGATAGCGAGATGGTGTTGGTCCGCGCTCAACAGTTGATAAAAGATAGCCGTGGCCGAAGCCTCGCAGTGGCTCATCCGTTGCTCGAGCAGTTGCGCGAGTCACGAGCAGAGCTCCGGGAGGAAGCCGCGACGGATCGAGGCTCGGCGACCAACCGGCCAAGGAACTAAAAGATTAAGGGGCTATGGGGGCCGTTATCGGGATGAGCCTCGCCGAGTCCAGGGCTCGGCCGAGTCCTGCGCCCCATTGTTGTTTTTAGCGCGTTCGGGCGCCGACGTGAACGGCTCAAAGCGATAATGCCTGAGAATGGGCAACGCCACTGAGGACAAGTCCGCCTCGCATCAGCATCAGCAACAGCATCGCCATCATCGGCATCATCGGCAGCAACGGCAGCGAGAACCCAAGCAGGCCCATCGCGAGTATCCGCCAGACTGGAGGATGGTGGAGCTGCACGCGAGTCCGAGCGACCGTCTCGACGGCCATCGCCGTGAAACCTCGAGCTCGCGCATCCACTACACCGTGCTCACGGTCCTTGACGCCGTATTCTCCGCGACGATCGCCGGGCCCGCGGTCGTCGGCTACTGGCGCGGTACCTGGGGCCTCAGCGACTTCTACATATATCCGGAGGACGCGGAGCTTAGCAGCTTGACCTCCATACTGATTGGCTTCTGCGGCCTCTTCAGCTTCAATCTCGCTCAGCACGTACTCGACGAGTGTCTGCACCCGGACAAGAATCGGCTCGTCTTCTACCTCGGCTCGAGGCTTTATACCGCGATATTCGGCTTCTGTTGCGTTAATGCTTGGCGGGGCGCCTGGCAGGCCCTCGACCTATACACCGAGCACACTTTTAGCACCGTATTCACCACGACCTGCGTCAGCCTCCTCGCGCTGGCGATTATGAGGACTCTGAGGAACATCTCCGCGCCCCCGTTTGCCATCAGTCTCGACGCGTTCGCCGGTTACTTCGAGGTGCCCACTCTATTCCGAGTCAACGTAAGTGACCGGCTCCGCTTTTCTCCCCGAGTGCGTATATCGCCCTTACGATAACGACCCCAGCATCACCGCCCACGCCCGTAGCCGCCGTCGATCCACGTGTTCGTGTTGTGACACGCGGCTTCGTTTTCCCATAGAAAGAGCGACCGTTGCTCGTATCCCCTCCCCAGCGGAGCCATAGACCCGTGCACACCGAGCTACCGCGATAAATAAGGAAAGCGGATGATTACGTGCTTGGCTTAGCAAGCTCCATTTTTCAGAATTGAGGGCTTATTCACGACAAACGCTTCTTTCGGCATTTAATTATCCGAACTGTTCGCAACTCGATATATTTGTTCGCCTTGCTCGTAACATATTGCGCGACGTACGACCATGTTTCTCCCTACCACTCGACTAAAATGCCAATATTATGGATAATTCGAGGAAGCGGCATTCATCAAATGCATCAAAGTAAAAAGACGATTAGAAGCAAGGAGAGTCATTCGCTTATTCATTGACTAATAATAATATAGCTCGGGATAAAGCTGAAACAAAGCTCCGTAGCGACGGTGTTTTTTTTGTTTTTTGTTTTTTTAATTTCTTATCGCGATACATTGCCACGCATTGATTAATGGAAATCTTGATTTTGTGGCGTTTGGCGCCAATGAACCTAATAGAGAGCTTTTAATCGAAAATTCCAGTACTTATCTATTACGTAGGTAAGAAGTCGGTATAAAGAATCTTATCGAGATTTTTTATCGCATTGGTGATTTGTAAATAGACACGACGTCATTGTCATTAATTTATTCATTCGGCAAGAACTTGCGTTGGCAGCGCAAATCCTTATTACAATTGTCGATTAGCGATACTTTTCCCAATGGCGTTCGGACGAACGTACGAACGATTCAAGACGGGAGAATTTTTGTTAAAGCAGAATATGAAATTCCGTTGAGAAAATAAAAGAGAGATGCATTGCAAAATGCCAAACGTACTTGACATACTTGTTCTGGCACATATCCCCAAATGAAAAGATTTCAATTCGTTCGAATAACTTGATTCGTAAACTGCAATTTCCGGTGATTCTCCACGACATCCTGCTATTTTTAAATTCTTCGACGACTACGACAACGACTACGACGACGACGACGACTACAACGACGACGACGACGACGACAATAACAACAACAACAATGACAAAAATCACAATAATAATAATAATAATAGTATTAATAATAATGAGTAACAATAAGTAATAATAGTAATAGCAACGACGACGACGACGACGACGACGACGACGACAGCAGCGGCAGCAGCAACAACAAATAAGGCAGAGTCGTTGACAATATACCGAGAATGAAAATAACTGAGTTCCTCTAATGCGGAGCCGAGGGTGCACATGTGTGCGTGTGCTCTTGACATGTGCTGCAAGTTGAATTATAGAATCGCGCGACGAGCGACGAATCCTAACCGATCAATCAATAATATGTACTTACAAATGCATTTTTCCCGCTTTCGAGCTCGGCATCGAGCGGTCACTGCACGTAAGCTTAGTTTCCGGCCTGAGACTCCCCCGCGATCGACGACCAGAAGAGCGTACGAGCTTTTGCCCCACGTAATAGTGTGCGTGCGCTGCACACTGTACATGTGCCCGCGCAACGCACGTGTCTCCACGGCTGCACGTCATTTCAATTCTTTTCTGAATTCATTTCCTCGACTCCCTCCCACCTACGTCTCTCCCAATCTCTTGTCATTCGCTTGTCTATCCACTCCTTTAAGGCACTATCATTATCTTTTAATCAATTAACCTATTACCGTCTCTTGCTAATTGCTGAAATCAGCTTTCCTTACTTCATGCTTAAACACAAGAATATCCGTTTAAGATGCCTCGTTTCAAAAACCATTTTTTCTATATCAAGACAATAATCTGAATTATAAATAAAATTCACTAAATGTAGAACCGAAAGAAAATATTGCCTACAGCAATGAATAGTTAATTGATTATTAAAATTCATTAATTAATTTAATAATTAATATATTCGATCCTTTTCTTTTTTTTCTTTTTTTTTTTTTTTAATTAGAACAATTTTCTTTCTCATTAAAAATACAAATTTTAAGAACAATAAGATCTTTTTAATGACTAAAAATTAGGAATGGTGATTTCTTAATATTAGCAGTATTTCAATGATATAATTGTTCTTTCATTATGAATATATTTTATACAAACTTTACACTACTACTTTACAATACAGCTATTTTGTAATTGTAGATGTAGCTAACTTATTATCATTAATATTAATCTTTAATAAAATATCTAATGCAATAATATATTCTGGAGTTTATTAGGTAAAAGAGAAATTATTATGTCTTCTTAAATAAAAGACATTTCATTTTCAAAGTTAATAAAAATTCTCTTATACAAATTATATGATGGCTATATTAAAGCATATTGTTGAATAATATATTTGATAGATGCTAATATTTCCGAGTAGAAATCTTACTAAAATTCAGTGATAAATATTACTAAAAATTAAGAGTTTTTAATAAAATTTTATTTATAAGTACTAAAAAATTTTCTTTATCGTGTATAGAGAAACAGGGGACTCTAAAATACATGAGTCGACTGCAACATTATCAACCTTTAGCAATCAACTTCTCATTTGTATTATATATATGTAATATAAGCTAGTCATTTCAATAAAGCAAGTAAAATGTAGTCAATCGTTGTTTTTTTTTTTTTTTTTTTTTTGCAAAATAATACTACAACCACAATGTTACAGTTTTATTTATTCCATGTTTTGTTCAATTTTATACATTAAAGATTAAATGTGTAAATAGTAATGAAAGGGAATAAGGTTGATATCCGATTGATTCCAATTGATTTATTTAATGTTAAATTGGCATCCTTTTTATTAATTCCAATAGCATTAAGGATCAAATATGACTGGTCGAATGCTTGATAAAGAATTTTTTTCAGAATACGAGGGACTGGTCACTCTACATTCTCGATTGCGCATTCAGCGTTGGAATTATTGGAACTCTCGTAGTTTTTGTTTGGAGGGGTGCCTGGGTGCTATTCGATCTTTATCTGTTCCCAGAAAATCGCGAACACTCGGCTATTGGCTCTCTCGTAAGTTAATGAGTTTTTTACCTTTAAACTAATACTCGTAGATATATAAGAAGATATTTTTAATTTAACTTTTTTTTCGTTTCTATTCTTTACATTGTACAAGCATTTAATGTTGAAGTTAATTAATTATATTACAATAATATAATTACTAAGGAAAAGGATTCAAGTCTTCCTGGCCTCTATAATTCCGATCAATAATTTCATTTTACATTTTCGGTTTTGCTAAATACTATTTCACTATTATCACAATGACGTAATACTATTAACGAAAAACTTATGTCAATGATTTCAGCTAAACGTCTTATTTTATCATGAAATATATTAATAAGACAACAAAAATAATAAGTGATTGGTAAAAAAATAATCGATAAAATTTGTAAATATTTTTTTTTTTTAAATATTGTTATCTTCGGAAGAAATCTTTATTGTTTTCATTATCATCTACGAACGAAGTGAGTGAATTAGGAAAAAAGTAATCTCCAACATAAATAAAAGATCTGACAAAATTGAAATATTTCATAAAAATTATTGAAATATACTCTATAAGTTTTTTACATAATAACGATAGAAATTTGAAGTCAAAATAAAAATATCAAATTAATTAACAAATTGATGAATTAATGATAGTGATAGATACAATGTAAGACTTAAAAAATGAATATTCGACATATATTTATTAGCTATATTTTATAGTAATAAAGTATTGATTATCCGAATTCAAGCTGTGCAATTTATTTTATAGCTCGTTACGATTCTAATTTTGGTACCATTCATATCTGTATGCATAAATAGCATAGTAATTTATATTGATTAGTTTATCTATTTAAAAAAGAAACACAAGAAAATGTATTTGCTAATTAAAAAACGATAATTTACTCATTATTTTTAATTCCAAAGCATGATATACAATAAAAGTTATTCATTACTTTACGTAACTTAAAGTTTATAACATATAGATTAAAACGATTTGTCATGATTGAAATAAAAAAATCCTAATAATATAAAAAAAAAAGAAGAAATTTTAATATTAATGAAAAAAGCATCATCGAAAATGTCAATAGAAATAAATAGTATCCCGTTAATTAGATGATATGCCTGACAAATTAATATAAAATATTCTTAACTTGAATATCCTAAAAGTATGTTTTCGTATTTTATTTAATGTATATGAGCGATACTTATAACTTGATAAGTTTTAAGTAAAAAGCGTAGATGAAAATGAAGCGAATTACTATTTAATTAACTGATATAATATTGGGCAGTAAAAAGGTAAAGCGAGAGAGAGAGAGAGAGCGTGAGAGAGAGAGAGAGAGAGAGAGAGAGAGCGAGAGAACAAAAAGGTTGAAACATTTAATGCAAAAGAAAAGGGATTGTGAGATGATTAAACATTTGACAAATAAGCGACTATTTTCTTACTTCTTAATTGAAGTACAAGACAATTTAGTTAAACGATGTCGAATGAAGTGCATATAACCCTCGAAGTTCGCTTCTGGGTCGGTTAAAATTTTCATTGTTGTATCCTCATAATATTAAATGTCGCGTACTCTTTAATTTTTTTTATCCTACTTTTCAGAATCAACTTAAAATTTACGGATCAACGTCGTACAATATAAAAATATAATTATTTTAGTAATTGTGAAAATGTAACTAACTAAACTGTGAAAATATAGCTAACCGTTGAATTTTTTTTTTTTTTTTTTTTTTTTTTTTTTTTTAATGTTTACTCTCTTGCTTAACTAAATTGTATGTTTTGTATTTGTGTTTGTTTGTTTGTTTATTTGTTTGTCGTGCATTTGCGGCTTGCGTGTAAACGTGCCTCTGTATACGTATATGCGTCCGTGCGTGCGTGCATGCGTGTGTGCGCGAAAATCTATTTGTACATTGAAAACGCTCATTCAAATATTGTACGAGCAACTGACTGCTAACATTACTACTAAAACTAATGTAAAACTTTCAATAATTAACGTCATTGAGCTTACGCAAACAACGTTTATTCGATTATCGGAAAGAAAAGTGGGAGAAGAAGGATAAACAGTTGAATTGGACAATCGCGCGCCGAAATTCAAGTTTTTTAATTGTAGCGTATGCGCCCGGACATACTGTTAATTTTAATTGATAAGCATAATATATTCCTTCTCGAAAGTCCAATAATTATTGTTGCCGAGAAAATCTATTCAGAGGCACAGAGATCGCGAGGCTAATTAAGCGAACGGGAAGAGGCACGAAGTTGGCTCTGGAGTAGCCATCAAACGTTTCCGGAAGCAATGAAAACAGCATAAAGAAGAGATAGAACAATACCATAACTAACGAGCAAAAGCTCGTAGCTCTATGAATTCATACGCAATAAAATTCTGATCGGACTCGATCGTTGTAGACGAGGAGTTAACGAACGTGGCTGAGGCCGATTTTACCGGCGTTCAACTTGGTTTCTATAATTAATTATTATTCTCAATTGCTTGTGATTGACGACGTGCGCAAGAACTTCTTATTTATTTGTCTACTCGAAAAACTGGGAGAAGGGAGAAGTTGTTAAGGGGGGGGGGGTCTTTCTTGATCATCAGCCTTACGGCCTTAAAGGCTTACGGATTTTGTACGTTAACTAAGCACGACCAAAGGGATCGAGGATGCCCTTGACACTGAGCTCTTTCGAGGCGGATAGAGAGAGAGAGAGAGACGCATTACCGACTGGTAAGACTTTCACACGTATCCACGAGAACCGCGTTACTACTTAAATTGAGATGTTCACATTCGCGTTCATCATGTCGCTATCTCGACTCATTTTCTCCAATTCAGAAAGAAGATTTTGTAAAGAAATACTTGCTTCTGTACAACGATTTCTTCCTCTCTCTCTCTCTCTCTCTCTCTCTCTCTCTCTCTCTCTCTCTCCCAAAAGTTGTTGTTCCAAAAGAGCTATTTCCTTTAAACATCTTGTCAATATGCATTTCATTCTTTGTGTTTGACAATTTATTTTTCCGTAAGTATTAGTAATATAAATTCATAGCTCAGAAAATATACACCCATAATGAATATCGTCCAATACGATTGTCACATTTATATTTTCTACAGTACAAATTTACCATTATTTTTAACAAATTTGAATTATTCGAATGATCTTAATATGAAATAAATGAATAATATATTCAATGTGGGCAATTTTTTTTAAATGATTTTATTTAAAGCTAATGGAAACATATTGTTCACCTGAGTCAATAAGATATTTCTATGAGATAAGGAACTTTTATTTAATATCCAATAATAATTGATCGTTGAAAAGCTTATTCTTCAAACTCAACTATCTTAATTTAGGTTTAATTGATAACTGAATACGCACGGGCTTCCTATTTCTTATTAAATAGATGCAATTGAAATAAAATTAAAAAATATATTAACCTATATGATCTTACGCTCATAGGTGCTATTGAAAATTTAGCACAAATAATTTTTTATAAAATATTTAATCGTTCGAAGAATCCCTCGATCCCTATATTATTTCGATTTATTAAAATTATCAACTATAATGGGAACAATTATCTTTACCTTCTGGTTGAATATACAGAAATTAGTTTTAACTTCTTAAGTCAAAGAAGCAATCGTTAACTTATTATTTATTATATTTTTATTTATGAATAACATCTATTAATAATAAAATAATTTAATGATAAAATCATTTTTAACGCGATTACAATTATCTTCATAAATATTGCAATTATTTTTTTTTTCTTTTTTTTTATTTTACTTTTTTTTAATAAAGCTTAATTATTCATTTTCATAGAATATCAACTTTATATGATAATATCATTGTAAGTCTAGTTCTTGACACAATTTTTCTCGTTTTCTTATCATAATTGCTATTAATAATTTTACCTTCGTTTAGATAACACCAATATTTACATATATTTATTTACTCTGTCGAACGCTTATTCTTAAACTATACGATGTATATTATCATAAAACCGTTATATTATTGTTGGTTAAAGAAGCTTGATGCGTTAAACGGCACCAGGAAGGACAGGATTCTTCCTTGACATTCTCCCACAGACTGACGTTCACTTCCCCGCCTACGACATAATATCATATAATACGTACGATCTCTGTTTTTTCTCACCGCGCCAAATAAAGTTCAAAAAGTGCACCGATTCACTTGACTACGTATATAAATAAATATTTTATCCGTCAATTATTCATTATAGCTCCCACTTTACCTCGTCCTCCAAATATTCTATTTAGTTTGAGAATATTCCAATGCAATTAAATTTTAAAAGCAATTTTCAAAGGATTTCTATTCCTCTTCTATTTCTCTAATACTTGACAAATTTGAAGTATCATACACTGTAATTCAGATTTCTAACAAATGCCAATCGTCATTCCTAATTAAAAGAATTACATATTAATACATACATGAGTAATCTATTACGCAGTCAGAGAAGCTATCGAAACGTTGATTCTTTAACAGATCCCTGGAATAGCATAAAAACTTTTACAAGCAACTATGATTTTAATTCAAGAATAATTAATGACGAGCGTACTCACGCACGCACACAAAAGTAATGTATAAATATAGTTAAGATAAAAAAAAATTTGTTTAACACTTTCTCTCTCTCTCTCTCTGTCTGTCTGTCTCTCTGTCTGTCTGTCTGTCTGTCTGTCTATCTCTCTCGTTGCTCTCTGTGGATGTGTTGTAAATTTTATTTCTGTATGCGTGCATGCGTATGGCAGTGTGCGCGAGATTTGGGGAGCGAAATGTTTGGCAAAGCCCGCGAACGCGTAGGCTAAGGTCAGGACTCCAAATAATATTGCAATAGGTGAATGCAATGACGTGTGCCTTCACGTAGATCCTGGGCTACGCTATCGTCGCGGTAACGTTCTCCCTGCAGCCGCTGATGCGATACACGTGCTCGCGACTCACGGGCCTCGCGCGTCTCGTTGCCGCGGACGGCTTCCTCCTGCTGAGCTTCGTCGGCACAGTGAACGTCTGGCGCGGCATCTGGAACATCCTCGACCTCTGGCTGCTGCCCGACGATCCCAAGCTCTCCTGCTGGATCACCCACTTTGGCTGCTTTATCTTCCTCGTGCTACTCAACTGCAGTAACTCCGTCCTCGTGCGCGGTGTCTACATCGACGCCGAGGAGGAGGCCGGCAAGTGCGTTGTCTTCCCCTGCCACTACCTCCGACTCTTCTACAAGGTGAGCTCATTGGTGTCTCTCACTGTCTCGCCCAGACTTTCATCCCTTTTTAATCATTCGAAGGACATCCTCTCGACACTCGCGAACCCTCGATAACGATACTATACTCGTCGGCACCAGACTCGCTGCATCCTTGGATAACGATAAACGCGTTCGTTTGTGATTGGCGAGGCTGTAATAAACGCGACACTTTCACGTGTCCCTTTACGCTTGGCTCTCACTCTTTCAAGCATTATTATTTATTGAAACTTGAAGAGTTGCAAGATACTCGAAAATGCTGAAAAAGAAATTCTTGTACGAAACTATCGCGCATCCGATGAATCTAAGCTTATGAAAGTAAATTAGTTCGCGAGTGAAAAGGCGAGGCTTCGATTTTTTTTTAATGCTCGACCGAGTTTTTTTCCATTTGTGAATCTGACGTTTCGAGGCCGCGTAGGAAGGGTGCTCGCGTCGAGCGGTCGTTAATACGTTATGGGAACACCTCGTTCTCGCGGGAAAACTTCGAGGACGATGCCAGTTTTAAATTGCAGAAACCTAAGGAGTGGGTGGATGGTTGTAGGTGGAGCGCGAGAAGAAGGAGGCGTGCCGGCGGAACCTGATCGTGCCCTCCCGGGACTTGGCGATGCGGAGCGAGCAGGGTGTCAAGGAGACGGCGAGCAGCGCCTTATACTCCGCGGGTGTCACCAACCTCGAGTCTCTCGTCTGAGCGGCCCAAGCAATCTTGACGAGCCCGCCAATCGATAGCCCCGACGTTATTTAATTTCTCTTCCCTTTAGCTTTTCTGCCATTGTCGCCTTCCATCCCTCTATAAATACTTGGCTGATTCCATTAGCCACGAAAGAGATGAATTTCAAAAGGCATTCGTTTTCGAACACTCGAGAACCGCCATATTTATGATGACGCGATCATCATGTCGTGGACGGCTATCGATAAATGTATCGATTACTTGATGTCCAACTGTGCATATCGGCACATTCTTCACCAAGAGGAGAAAGGAAACTACTCGTGCCCCGAATGTCTGTGTCGCTCGGAAGCTTTTCTCAGTGCTTGTGCTTATTAAAAACGAATGCTCGTTTACAGTGACATGCGATCCAAATGCGAATACTTAAGAAATTATTGAGAAATTGCAAGGAAAATACAGGTACTTCTTAAGTAATTGCGATTGGTAATGCAGTATAAAAGACAAGGATAATATAGTGACGGAATTTCTAAAATTATGCATCGGTAATTAGTGATTGTTCCTTGTGCGCGTGTGTATGCGTGTGACATGTGTATACGTGCGTGCACGCGTGTGCTTGCGTGCAGTGGTACGTGAGTATTGGCGAGGCACGCACGTTTTTACGCAATATACACTAAATACTTATACACATGTGCAAATTTAAATTTTGCACTCACACGACGTTATTACTGATTTGCGAGGGACATAACGGAAAAGAAATGTATAATCCAACGAAACGTAGTATATACGATGCCGATTTAGGAAATTTTTTCTTTTCTTTTTCCTTTTTTTTTCTTTTCTTTTTCTTTTTTTCTTTCTCTCTCTCTCTCTCTCTCTCTTTTCTTTTTAAATGAATCAAAGAAAGTATAATTTAATATATGATACATCGACAAAAAGAATGCACGTTTTCATGTCAAACACTTTACGTGATGGTTGTTATACTGCGAAGGGCTGTGAAAGAATTTAACTATGACGACAGCAATGTCTACGTTTCAATAGGTATGCAGATAATGTAAAATATCGAAAACTATAGTAAATATACATCTAAAAAGTAAAATTCAATAAATTATGAAAATTATATGATAAAATTTAGCCCTCCTCCCCCTATTTTTTTTAATGTATATAGACTTTTCGGTTATTTGTGAGGACTGAAATTCGACAAAGTGTAATGATCATTATAATATTAAATATTTTTATGCGAAAGAAATATATAAAATTCTTTAACGATTAAAAATAAAAACGATATGAAAGTTAAATATTTAACTGTTGCGCGACATATTTAAAATTTATTAAAGAGCAAATTCACTTTTAACCAATACGAAACATTGAAAAATATAAAAGAATGCGGTTTCTTTTTTATGTATAAAAAAATTGCATTTCCTTAGCCTATAATGATAATTATTATCTTTTCATGAAGCATGAACACTCAAATACTGTCTCATAAAAATGTATATACTAGTAACGTACATATACTCTGAGAATAAAATATCCGACTTAATAAAAATTTCATTAATACAGAAATGTCCCTTCTCATTCCCTCATCCGAAAAAATTAGTATTTCAGGCAAATTAAATCACTTAAGCAGATCCGGTTAAACAATAATAATTTCTGTATTAACGAAATTTCCTTTGCGTTTTTTTAAATATTGTATCAAATCACTATAAAATGTATTATAATTTATAATTATAAAACGTACTATTATTTATTATTACAGATACACTGTACAGTTTGTCGTTTAATGCGAGAAAGAATGATATCGCGAAAAAATGAAATAAGAGGAGTCACTTTTAAGCCTCGGGCATTAAATGTAAATGCATGCATATACGCACGAACGAACCAACACATTTGCAAAAATGTGAAATAACCATATTCGAACGAATAGGATAGGGTACACGTGTATTTGTTCCCATACAAGTGCGTATATGTTGCATCAATGTATTCAACATAATATTTCATAATATTACTTACGCGTATATCTATATAAATATGTATATATATATATATATATATATGCATGTTACATGTATAAAATAATAATTAATTTTGACTCTGAAGACGCTCGAGTGTCTCTATGTCAATGCGCGCGTGAACTACATTCGCAAATGCGGGCACGAATGCGTCTTTTCAAGTTCATCGCTCTCCTACAATTATATTGACGCGACTAATCTCGCTCGCTATGATGATCCGCCATCGTTAGATCATTGATGCCACGCAGCTACTCAGATTTCCACTCCACGTTCGGGAAAAATCCTTTTTCGACTTGAAAGTACGTCCCAAGCGAGGACCGTTCCAACCAATGGCAAACGATCATTACCCTTCGACTTTAATGCGACATAAAGCTTGTTCAGTTGTTCCGATCATAAGGCATTGAAGCAGACGAAGACATTATTCTGATATATTTGTGCGATTAACCTGCGATCTGCTCAATGTATGCTTTTAAATCAACTTCACAGTGGATAAAAGGATGAAATTATTTTTTGACAACAATAAACGAATAATGAAAATCTTAATCGCTTGTGTCTCTTACTATTTATCCATCTCCAAAAAGTATTAATAATCGAGATAATTATAAAAGATAAATGAAGAATAATTTATTTGGGCAATTTGAATAAAGAGAGTTTGAGAATTATAGGGGCATTATTAATTGTAAATTCTAAGCGGGAAGGGTGACTTTTTTTTAACACGAATGCGAATAAATATTCTACGTAAAGTCAACCTAGTGAAAAGAGCTGCTCTCGTGCGCGTCTGACGCGTAGCTATGGTAAGGTCAAGGTGGCCCGGAGGCTCCGAAACCAAAAATCCAAATCCCCGAATAGTGCGGATTACTTAACCTCTCTTCCACCCCACCCCCACCCCCCGTCCCGTTCCGCAACACCTCAATACCTCGCCCCTTCTCGGAAGCTGCAGCTTGAAGGGATCGATTGGACGCTGGCGAGGCCCGGGGGATCGAGCGCCGATCTCAATTTACGAATTCGAAGACCGCGAGAAAGCGAGAGGCCGACAGGCGAAAGAGAACAAGAGCAAAAGCAAGAGACCCGAGCCGCGCCAGCACGCGACATCGAGGGCACCAAGTGTGTCGGCTCCCCGCGTGACGTCCGAACCCTGACACAAACGGAGCACAATGGGACCTTGGGTTTGTAACAATGATAATGCGGCCGCGAGCACTCGCGCCCACTCCACTGGTCGCACACACGAACGAAACAAATAGAATAGAGGCGGGTAGGAGAGAGAAAGAGAGATGAGAGTAGACTCGTTGATGCATGGATACGATAGGGCCAGATAAGGGGAGAGGGGTAGAGGAGAACGGGGAATAGGTATTGGTATTGTGTAGGGGGGCTAAGGGGGTATAAGAGGGGATTAGGAGGATGAGGAGGAGGCGGGGAGGTGGGAAGGGTATACGAGAGATTTATGAATTGAAGCTTTTCCCTCTTCGGACGTATCCTGCGCGTACCCCCGCGCGGCCTCTTCCAAGCCAATTTACCGTACATAATAATTAATTGACCCCCGCTAATGAGGGAAGAATGGAATGGGCCTACGGAACCGGAGTGGCCGTCCTCCTGGCCTATATTTAACCGTGTCCAGACGCACCGTGGAAGGCTACGAGCAGCGTAAGAGCCGAAGATACCGTCAGCCGAGCCACATTCCCAGGGATGACGCGACGGGGATATCGCTTCGGGCATTCGGGCGACTATCGTGTAAACGTGAGAGAATGCCCCACCTGCAAATCTCCAATAATTAAACCCGACAGAATTGTTCAACCAGAGCCTACACCCAAATAATGACGAGACGAATACTACTTTCTCCGTGTAAAGAGGACAATTTTCTCGAGTCTCTTTATTAATTCATTTACTCAACCATCTAATCGCCAATCTCCCTTCTACGCTTTATCGCCTCAATGAAATCTTAATCGGATGTCGCACCAATTAAACGTCGAAGCTATTGAATTAATAAACAATAACTTTCTTACATTTTCCAAGTTCGCTGGATTACGTACTTTTTCATTCATCAGTTTTATATGATTTAACGAATCGTCATTGCCGGGTGCTATTTTGACCCTCGTAAACGCCTATTTATAAAGAATTTAAAAACTTGATAATTTCTCACAGCCTATAGGTAGTAATGATAGTGGTCTATGTATAGTAATTTCCATGTCATAATAAACGTTACTATCGAATGAAATTTTATCGAACTAATGAGAGACCAATATGAGTAGCCGACACGTTAAACTAATGAAAGTCGAACCGTGAATTTCGTAAAAATTCACGCGACTTCGTAAAAATTCACGCGACTTCGTAAAAATTCACGCGACCTCGTAAACATCGGGATTTGCGGGTTTGCCTACGCCACGGGGTGCTAGAGGTGCGGGAAACGCGAGATCGGTAGGCCAGCGAACAAAGTAGGAAGGCCAATTGATTCCCGATATTGATCGCCAATCGGCTGCTGGCCACCAAGTGGGGAGTCTATATTTATTGTAACGATGAGAAGAGAGTGGCGAGGTCGTTCGGACTGTCGCCGAAGGCAAATCAGTTCGCGAGCCTCGTGTTCGCGAAAAGGTGAAACAACGATCCCTTCGACTCTTCTTACGTGACTATTAAAGAAAGAAGAGGGACAAGAGGGGAAGATACGAAAGTTTAATCGACGCCTCGAGCCTGTGCAGGACGCGGCAAAAGAAGCACCAACGACGACCCTCGACGCTCGCTTCAAACCAAAAAGAGCCCGAAACAAAATATCTCATTCCGCGACAACTCGCCAGTGTGTCTCGACAAAACCAAACAAATACGACTTGCATCTGAGGAAACTCCAAGGAGTTTAGGAATCTCGGCCGCGTCGAGGAAGAACTCTTCCCCTTCTCCGTCATTGCCATACGCCAACAAGTCGCGAGAGACATGGCTTCCAACGATCCTCTGGCCTCTGAACCTCTCGTCTCCGTGGACTTTGAAGTTTTTGGAAAAGTACAAGGTGAATCGTATACGATACGCTTCGCTTAGTTTCTCTCTCTCTCTCTCTCTCTCTCTCTCTCTCTCTCTCTCTATCTCTCTCTCTCTCTCTTTTGATCTTACTTTGATCGGATGCTTGAGCGATAACGAAACAATAAATATTGCGAACACTGATCATCTATCCGATAACAACTCGATTCGTCTTTCTTTAACTTTTAAAAGAAAAATTTTGTGACACTTGGACACAATGAGACCGCTCATAGGCGGAGCCGAATGAACGTTTTGTTAAAAAAAAAAAAATGTAATCAGACGTCAGTCAACGCTATTCGAAACTCTCAAAAGCTAAATTGTATTTATTTTATAATTTTCTCTGACTCATAGCTTCGAACTTTGTTTCGCTTCATTATTTTATTAATCGACAGCCTTTATTGATTATAAATACAGAACAATATATCACCAAATAATTCATTCAAATAATATTTCAACAAAAAAACGCAAAACAAAAAAAAAATATATCAAATAAAAAGTAAGGACTCCTTTACAACTAATGACTCTGAGGACAAACTTATTTTAGCCGATGGAAAATAATAATTAATATTAATAACTGTAAGGTCATATTATAATTTTCAATTACTTTATATTGTATTTTAAGTACAGAATTTAAACTTATTTTTCTAATTTATCTACTAGATCTTTTATCATGTCACTTAAATTACTTAATATTAAATATCTTTTAGTGGGTTTATTAATTATTAATAGAGAATAATAGTGGTCGTTAATATAATGAGATACTTATTTACTAATAACCATTTTAACTAATTATTATAGTTTTAAAAGTAACGTTAATCAATAAGAAAGTGTATTATTATTATTTTTTTTTGTTTAAAATTTCAAATAAACAGTTTTGATAAACTTTCTTATGTAGATTTCTTATCATGAAATTTAATCACGTATCAGGGATTTCTAAGAAACCGATAATTTTACTAAAAAATTCAGATTCAATTAATCAATTTTAAAAATTCTTTTTTGTATATTTGTATAATTTTTTTTCCAATTAATTTACCAATTTGATCTATCTAATCTAATGTTCTTCGCATAATCAGAAATATTTAAGTATTCTCAATAAGAGAGAGATATAATTGAGAAAAATTTAAATGCATAAATGACAGATTTTATGGCATGATATTATATAGATTTTTTATTATTTTATTAATCTTTCAATTTTTTCTAACGTTCCCCGTACAAATATATATTTTAATCATCGTAACAAAACTGTCTAAAATACCGATTTCGCTTAGTCTCAATATTACAACACCTATACAAACATAATATAATATAAAAAAATTTGAATGAAAGAATATTATCGCTTGATGTCATTGAAAAATAAATTCAAATACAGCTCTAATTGTTATTTCGTTAGTACTTAAATAAAAAGTTTATGTAGCCTTATTGTAAATAAAACTCGTAAATAGATTAAGAATTTATTCAATATATATAAATCTTTGATTCGCTTATTGTGATTATCAAGTTTTTTTGATGGAATTAATTATGAATTAAATAATTAATGAAACTCATATATTAATATAACAAAAATATAAACACGTGACAACTATACTAAAGGAATTGTTGGTAAATACAAAATATAAGAATAAAATATAAATATAAGAATTAAAAATATATTGATTTTTAATATAGGTATGAAAAAATAAGGCAAAGAATTATTACTAAAAGGCAATTGATTTTTTTATTAATTTTTTAATAAATTAAATTTTTTATTAAAAATTAAATTTCATGTTTTTATATTCAATAAATTAATTTCTGTGGATGCGTGTATGCGTGTTTGCATATTTGGCAACGGATTGTTATTTAAAATCCACCTTTGGGGCTCATATTTAAATTGAAATTAATTTTGAGTATTTAATTATCACACGACTAGTGCGTCGATATTTATTTCAGCCAAATTTCTACGCATATATGAAGTAATATTTGATTTTTTGATTATGTAATCTGTCAAAGTAAAAGAATCATTTCTGATCTCAACGTATTAATACAATGACTGTTAATGCAATCGAAACATCTTATATATTATAATCTTATAATAAAGGTGTATATATATATATATATATATATATATATATATATATAATTCATATCATATATACTCAGCAGAGATATACATAAACTTTTATGTATCAATCCAATAATATTTACACTTGACAGAAAAAGTGTACCAAATTAACACTATAATACACATAATAATGCATATGCATAATTTTTATATAACACACACACACGCGCGCACACACGCGCGCACCCGCGTTCACACACACATACACAGACATACACACATCTAATATCTTGAGTAATAAACACTCCAAATGCAAGCAAATTTAATCGCTTTGTATCGATTCGACGTTACTTTCGAATATATCATATATTCATACTCCTATTATTTACAATCAATAATTACATTTTTACTTACACATTATAACCACTACGAGGAAAATATATTCCTCGAAAGATTAATAAAGAAAAATGTACAAATATTAATTGCATCTACGATCTCGTAGGTTGTTCCTTCACAAAATACGTACGAGAATTATGTCAGCGATTGGGAATCGTCGGCTGGGTAAAAAATAGTAAAAACGGGACCATCCTCGGAAAAATGCAAGGTCCACAAGCACTCGTCGATCAAATGTAAGTGTTAATATACCGAGCGATCTTTTACTTTTTCCAACAATTATTTAATTAACATTTCATTCAATATAGAAATTATAATACGATGTCATATACAAACATATGAAATCATTTGTATTTAATTAATTTTTTTCTGTTTTGTTCAACTTATACCCATTTAATGATTTGAAAATAGCGAAAAAAATTTCTTTTTATTCAAGAAAGGTATTTTAATGTATTATTACTTTAGTTTAGTTCTGAATTCCGTTAGAAAAAAAAAAGAAGATGAAAGTACTATTAAAGATAAAAATTGATCGACTCTCGTGTATTATATCAATTGCCCGTGTGGTTCGCATCTGGTTATCCTATTGTTTTGCTCAGACTATTCCACAAAAACTCGATTGCGCGTTATTCGTGTTATTCAGTGCGCAAATCGCTGTAACGTAACCGGACATGGTATCAATTACCACATCAAAAATTTCATCCGCCTTCTGGAAATACAATTATTTCTTGAGTCAGCTGTAATTTTCAACTCATAGGCAAGAAAACATGTATTACAATAAAACCTCACGTGTACCTCTTATGATGAAATGATAGTATAACGATTCCATTAGTATTTATACATTTATAATTGTTAAATGATGCAGGAAAGGTAATCTCAAATGTTTTAATCAATCTAGTTTTCTTTTGGCTTATACTATCGGCATGAAAAAATCTTAATTTTATGTTTAATACTTTCGTTCACCATACCCTCACTTTTATATGTTAATAATTTTTCAAGTAACAGTGAAAAAATAGGGATAAAAATAGAAGAAATTTTGCCAAATTTCTAGTAAAGGAGTTATTCGTTAACTACTGAAATTCTTCGCAATTCATAAAATAAAATTACCTAATTAATTATCATTTTTGTCATGTGATAAACAATCG